AGTTAATAGCTATTTCTAGATAATTTATGGCTTTGGCTATTTGGCCGTTAGATGTGTAGATGCAGACGTCGTCCGCAAACTGAATAATTCGTATATCATGGGGGTATTGAGTGATTAGCGGTTCCAGATCCATGACGTAAATGTTGTACAACAAGGGACTCAAAACGCAACCTTGCGGTAGGCCCTTATCTACCAGTCTCATCTCTTCCAAAGCACCAAAGTTGAACTTGACAGATCTTTGGGATATTAGATTAAAAACGAATTGTACAAAGATGCTAGGAAATTTTAAGGTACACAATTTGGCTATCAAAACATCCCATAACACGTCGTCATAAGCACTTTGGATGTCCAGGAAAACAGCACAAGTGTCCTGTTTCTTGATCCAGTTATTAATGATATCAGTGTGAAGAATGGCTATATTATCCATACAAGACCTTCCTTGTCTGAAACCAAATTGTGAGTTGGGCAATGTGTTATTTTTTTCCAACCACCAGTGCAAACGATTGTTAATCAGCCTCTCCGCCAATTTGAGAGAGCATTGTGCCAAGGATATTGGTCTGAATTTTTCCGAGTCTTTTTTTGGTATGAAGAACACCGAAAAACGTTTCCACTCCACTGGAAAGGCTCCAGAAAAAATGATTTCGTTTAATAAAGAGAGAAGAAGGACTCTAAGCTCCTGGGAAAATTCTTTAAAAGTAAAGTAATCTATGCCATCCAATCCTGGACATGATTTCGGCTTAGCTTGATCAATGGCTAAATTGAGTTCATCTAGAGTGAAGAAAAACTCCAGTTCGTGAGAGTTACCGGCCAAAGAAATAACTGGAGGTCTTGGTTGGCACCATGGAGGAGCCAAACTGTTAATCTGATTGCGAATGGATTCTAGAGCCGCTGGTTTATACGCATTGGAAGATTCGCCTCTATGAAGTGTGTTATTCATGGCTTTGATTACGTACCATGAGTGTTTTAAATTGGAATACTTATTTAAGGAAGAGCAAAAGTCGTAAAATTTTTCTCTTTTGACTTTCCTAAATAATGCTTTGGTTTGTTCATCTAAATGTTTAGCCTCAATATAATTTTCTCTAGTTGAAGCATGTTTAAATCTTAAAAAAGCGGCCTTACGCAGCCTAGACGCCTTGTCGCATTCATCGTTCCACCAAGACTTGGCTTTTTTATCAAATGTTTTTTTGGAAAGATCCAATTGAGAAGAACGAGGTTTAGTTTAGGTGTTGCCGTCAGAATACATTCTTCAATTACCGCGAAGAAGGATGAATATTTACATTGCGTGTCTAAATTTGGATTTTCTAGAGTAGAGGTAAGGAGTACTAGGCTTTGTTTTAAGAGATCTCTAACCATGGTCCAATCGGTACTCTTTCTATGCAGTCTGGTGTTGTTGAAAAATTGAAGAGTTTGGGGGAGCATATTAAAAATGGAAATAGAGATCGGGTAGTGGTCGCCACCCCAGAAATCATCGATTACTTCCCAGCGTGAACTCAACAAACGGTCGCTATTTGTAATGGACAGATCAACGGCAGACCGACTGCACGAAAAGGGCTGTCGCCTTGTTGGCGATCCGTCGTTCAAGAGACTGAAGTTGCAGTCAGAAAGAGCAACGAGTAAATTTGTACCGGTTTGACAGGAGGTAACATTACCCCACGAAGTATGACGAGCATTAAAATCTCCTAAACATAAAGTGTCTTCCGAGAATTGAGTAAGAAAGGTATTCCACTCCTGAATGGAAATATAGAATCGAGGGGATTTGTAAATAGAAATGATAGAGAGAGGTCTATCCCCACATTGGACGCGCGCACCACATACCTCAATTTTTCCGTTGACATCGTTAATGTTGTTCAAGACCTGGTACTGAATTGGCCTTTTGATAAGCAGAGCCACTCCGCCACCTCTTTGTCCCGTCCGATTGTGGCGGATGGAGTCAAAATTTCTTATAAGGAACCGGTCCTCGTCACGGAGCCATGTCTCCGACAGCGCCACTATTTCATAATCTTGAACTCTAACCTCCAGTTCAACTTTTTTTCCAAGTGCGCAGTGACAATTCCATTGGAGAAATCTAAACTTAGTCATTTTGAGAAGAAGAGAGATTAGAGTTAAGCTTAATTATATGATTGTAAATAAGATCAATTATATATGGAAAGAGAAACCTGATCATTGTCTGCTAAGAATTGGAAGATTTGGTTTATTTTGTCCTTGTCTTCCTCACTATTTTTTGGTTGAAGACCAATAAGCTTGTTGATGAGTCCTGCCGTCCTATTCTGGGTGATTGAGAGAGCTGGTGTCTGGGTGAGTCTTGAAGGTGTAGAGGATCCCAGTCCCTTTGAGCCCCAAGCTCGATTGGATGATGGCCCATTCACTTTGCCCACCTCCAAGGGAGGGAACTCGTTACCAGACAGATCTGGTAATGAATAAGGATGAAGTCCCGAGATTGTTTTAGGTGACCGTTGATCCTGAAGTACCATTTTTTTTTTGCTGAATTGAAGTCGATGTTCTCAATCGCCATAAGCTTGGTTACACGCTTTTTCAAAGTGGTTTCTGGACATTCACTCGATAGTGCTCTGTGCTCGCCTCCACAGTTGATACAATTAGGTTTGGAAGAGCAAGCCTGATTTGGATGCGGTTCCTTACCACATGTTAAGCATTTAGTTGAGTTTTTGCAAAATTTGGATGCATGGCTTAATTGTCCACAGTTGAAACATTGCCTTATGTTTGGAATGTATGGAGCCATTTCCAATCTTGTACGCCACATGAATACCGAGGGCAGAACCGTCATGGACCTCAAGCTTAATTTAACAGTAGGTGAAGGGATAAATTCCGTTTGACCATTGACGACGGATCTCGACTTGAGCCTGTAGATATCTTCTTTGTCAAATGATAGTTGTGGATTACTTGTTTTCAGTTCAGTCCAGATTTCATCGTTAGGAATATCCGTTGGTATTCCTTTAATCACTACTTTGCGGTTGGTAAAATACCAAGGAATAGACGCTGTATACTTTGATTTTATAAGGTAAGTATTTTTCACAGCATCATTTGCCAATGAGTATGATGAAAATGATATGATCCACTTGTATCTGCTTTGCTTCAAGATTGTGGAGAAGTTGAGGCCCATCTTGAAAAGAGCACGTGAAACTTCTATATCCAGAGGCGGTCTGGGGGTGTTTTTACTGTCGCTGATCTTCAGAGACACCAGAACCCTAAATGGCCCTTTGTCTTTACGAGTATATTTATTTTCTTCTATGGGTTTATTGTTTATATTATTGCAGTTGACTTGAGATGATGTCTGGTCGTTAGGAGTTGGAACCGATGGAATGATACCAGTTTCCACCCGTGAACCAGGTATTATATTATTCTTCTTTGCTGTTTGAGATGATGATGTCACTTTTCCACTGGGAAAAGAACGTTTTGTTCCTTTTTTAGATTTTATTTTGCCACTCGCTTCTTCCTTTAAATCGTCAACCAAAAGTTCATAATTATTGATCGTATCGAGACTATTGTTATATGGATCGTCTTCTTGTTCAATTTCCATGGCTCTAGTAGAGACCGATACGGAAACCGGGGAAGACAGCCACGTGTCTCCCCTTGGCGACGGGTAAAGGTTATGTGTTTCTATCCACCGACACGCTTATATGTGTGAACGCCGACGGAAAGAATAAAGAATCCGATTGATCCGGGCCGGCGCCCGTAACACCGACCCTTCCACACGGAGATCTGCCGATGCAGACCACTAAGGTCACCAAGGCCACCAAAAAGATGTGAAAAAGGGAAATAATTTACAAAACGCAACGAAAAGCTGCCCACCAACCAGGCGGCAGGCATTTTTTTTTTTTTAATTATTTAGGGATATACAAGAATGGCTATGGCAGCACCATACAGCCCGCGAAATACAAATTTGTATAAAAGTAGGCTACAACGTTGAGAGTAGAATTGTAACATAGTTATGACTAAAAATTAAGTATAAATGTACGAGAGAGATTTAACATAACAATACATCTATATATCATACATAAGCAAGTCTTAAGAAAGTCTTAGTAAATCGGTAACACTTAAATTAACGTGTTGACTAGAACTTAACAATACTTTTATTCTAAGGAAAAAAGAAAAGACGATTTAATAAGAGATTAGCTTACATAAGAAGATGAAGGTTTAACTTAAGTTACAATTTGACGCTTATACCGAGTAATAAATCAAAACATAATTAGTCGTAGCAAAACAAGAGGATTAAATTGCAAAGGAGTAAAGGAAGCCCATTTAAGTTAGATCCTTAGAGAAATATCAAAAATAAATCTGGCCAAAAATAGGGCACTGTTGGAGTCCGTGTTATGAATGAATTCAACCAGGTTTAGAGGACCGATTGGGACGTGGAGCCTTAAGCCTTCAACCAGGTGACTTCTTTCCTCATCGAATAGATTACATTGCCATAGAATGTGATTCGCGGTTTGAATATAGTTCCCACAAGAACACAGTGGAGTATCCACTACCTTAATTTTAAACAAACTCTCAGCTAATAACGTATGACCTGCTCTGAGTCTATTAAAGGAGACTATAGGTTTTCTGGGCCATGGTTTTTTGTAAAACCAAGGTTTCCTACTTGGGGATAAGTACAGGTTGGAAAAGTTGATCCCTTTAGATCTTCCACACTCACGAGCCCACCCAAAGAACTCACTGTACAGAAGATCCCTCCAATGTGCTTTTAAGTCGATATTAGGAATTAACATAGCGCTATCTTTACCTAAATAAGCAGCAGATTTAGCTGCAGTATCGGCCTTCTCGTTTCCTACAATTCCATTATGTGCTGGAATCCAAAATAGTTCTATTTTGTGCCCTTTTTGATCCATCTCTTGAAGTGTCGCCAGAATATCGAGGATAATTACAGTGTATTTGTTCGGATGTTTCTTTTTGAAGAGAGCTTTAAGTACACTCATCGAGTCCGAAAAAATTTGGATATGCATATAGAGTTGGTTAAGGCCTATCTCCAATGCTGATCTAATAGCCATAGCTTCGCAAGTAAAAATGGATGCCTTGTTAGTAGTTCTAAATTTAAAAGTCTTATTGTACGTAGAGTCAAACACTGCAAAACCCGTTAAAGGTAAGTTATCTGATTTAGAGCCGTCGGTGAAAAAGCGATGGATGCTGTTAGATGGGGGAAATAACTGATTAAATTGGTAGTTAGGATTAGAAGAAAACTTCAGAATCCCGCCTTCGGTAAAAGATATCGAGGGTGCATACAATTGAGCATTGATGGAATTATTGCAGTAAGGAGGGCACGGAGAGGAGAATGTGAGATGAGAAAGATTAACACAGTCCAGATAGCATTTAAAAAGATTCGAGGTTTTAGTTATATGAGTAGTTGTAGGGTTGTCAAAGGTAGATACTCTCCATGATAGCAATTAAAGGATGACCGATTCGAGTTAGAATTTTGGACATGTAATTACGCCCTAAAAATAGGAAACGAATATCTAAAGGAGGGATTTTTGACTCGCTTAAAATAACATTTATTGGAGTGGATTTCCTGTAACCCATTGCGATTCTGACTGCTTTATTCTGTGTTACAATAAGTTTGTTATTGAGATACTGAGGAATATCTGACCACAAGAAAGCTCCATATTCGATTCTTGAGCGCACTATACTTTTATAAAGAGAGAGAAGCAGGGATGGATGAGATCCCAGCCACGTGGATCTTAAATAAGAGATAATTTTCAAAGGAGTTTGGCATTTGCTCACAATATAATTGATGTGCTTATTCCATTTGAGATTGGATTAAAGAATCATACCCAGAAATTTGACCGATGTACTAGAGGTAATATTAGAAGGCCCTATTCTCAAGGGCCGAGAGTGGTATGGAGATCTTTTTCTACTGAACATACAGAATTGAGACTTTTGGGACGAAAGAGACAGGCCGATTTCCCTATACCAGTCCATTACCGCTTCTAAAGCGGTCAAGATTATTGTAAATATTGTCTGTAGATGAATAAGATGCGTAGATGCAGACATCGTCCGCAAATTGTAAAATATGTATGTCCGGAATACTGTAGATTATTTTCTCCAGATCCATAACATAGATGCTATATAATAAAGGGCTGAGCACACTGCCCTGAGGAAGGCCTTTAAAAACTGACCTCTTTTCCTCTAAATTACCATGCTTGAAGATAACTTCCCTATGTGATACTAAGTTAAAGATGAACTTTGTAAAGATGTTTGGAAAGTTGAGAGCCTGAAGCTTATTCAAAAGTACATCCCAGAGCACGTCGTCATATGCACTTTGAATGTCAAGGAAAACGGCGCCTGTATTTTGATTGAGATTCCAATTATTTATTACAATCGAGTGGAGAATGGCTATATTATCAATGCAAGATCTAGCTTGCCTAAATCCGAATTGGGAATTAGGTAATACCTTATTTTTTTCTAACCACCAATATAATCGATTATTAATTAATCGTTCAGTCAATTTGAGCGAACATTGAGCCAAAGAGATAGGCCTGAATTTGTTGGAATCTTTCTTAGGGATGAAGAAAACCGAGAATTGTCTCCATTCTGCTGGAAAAGAGCCCGTAAAAATAATTTCATTAATTAATGCGAGTAGTAAGATTCTTAAGTCTTGGGAGAAGACCTTAAAGATTTGGTAGTCTATACCGTCTCAGCCTGGACACGATTTTGGCTTAGATAAATCTATTGCCAAGTTGAGTTCTTCTAGAGAAAATGGAAACTCCAACACGTGAGAGTGTTCATTTATATGAATGATAGGGGGTATTGGTTGACACCATGGAGGAGCCAGGCTCTCTATTTGATTTAGGATAGTACTATAAGTTTCTGGATTGTAAGAGTTGGAAGTTTCATTCCTCTGCAAGGAGTTATTCATTGCTTTAATAGTGTACCAAGAATGTTTCAGGTTAGAGTATTTATTCAGAGAGGAGCAGAATTCCAGGAATTTCTCTCTCCTTATTTTCCTAAATAAACTTTTGGCCTGAGCGTCAAGCTTTTTAGCCGATAGATAATTTTCTCTCGTAGGGGAGTGTCTGAATTTAAGAAACGCCGCTTTGCGAAGTCTGGCCGCTTTGTCGCATTCTTCATTCCACCAAGACTTGGCCTTTTTATCAAAAGTTGTCCTTGAAGGATCAAGCCGAGAGCAACGACTAGCAGGGTTAGGAGTGGCCTCTAGAATGCAATTTTCAATAACCGAAAAAAAGGATGAGTATTTGCACTGAATATCTAGGGAAGAATTTTCCAGTATAGAGGAGAGGAGCTGGCAATTTTGGAAAAAAAAATCTTTAACTTTCATCCAATCTGTTCTTTTCTTGTGCAATCTAGTGTTATTAGAAAATTGTAAGGTTTGAGGAAAACCGTTCGAAAGGGATAAAGTAATAGGAAGATGATCACTACCCCAAAAGTCGCATAGAACTCTCCAGCTTGATCTCGCCATACGTACACTATTTGTAATTGATAAATCAATAGCCGATCGAAGATTGGTGAAGGGTTGAATTCTAGTGGAGGAACCGTCATTTAGAACGAAGAAGTCGCTATCAATCAGTGATGAGAATAGATTATTACCTACCTACCGGACAGGAGTAATTATTACCCCAAGACGGGTGATGAGCATTATAGTCACCCAAATACACGGAGTCACCTTGAAATTGAGAAAAAAAGGAAGACCACTCATAAGCAGAAATACAACTAGCCGGCGGATTATAAAGGGAAATGATATTCAGCTGTCCGTTATTAAAGAATATGCGTGCGCCGCAAACTTCTAGTTTACCACCCAAATCATTTAAATTATTTAGTACCTGGTATTGGATAGGCTTCTTCACTAGTAGAGCAATTCCACCACCCACTCGACCAGTATGATCCTTTCGGATGGTATCAAAGTTTTTTATCAAGAATCTATCTTCTTTGGTAAGCCACGTCTCCGACAATGCCACTATTTGAAAGTCTTGTATTCTGGTTTCTAGTTCCAGTTTTTTCCTAAGTATACTCTGGCAATTCCACTGCAAAAAATTTAGATTAGCCATTTGAAAGCTTAGATAAAGAGGAAAGATTAGATTTAAATAAATGATTATATATAATATCTACAATGGAGTAAGAAACCTTGGCATCTTTTTCCAAGTGTTTAAATATTTTTATCCATTTATCTTTATTTTCATTCGAGTCCTTAGCCTGAAGTCCCAAGAATTTAAAGATGATATTTCTGTTGCCCTCCTGTGACTCCGAGCCAGGATGATAAGGGTTGATCGGAGGAGAGGAGCACGAATTAGAGTTGGTTGAGCCCTTCGTAATTGCCGCAAAAGATCTTCCAATAAATGGTGAATCCAGAGATGGAAAGTGCGTTCCCTGGGAGAGATGAGGCAGGATCTTATTGGTTTCTGGTTTATTGTAGAATCCTTGAACTAACTTCTTTTTCGCCAGATTGTAATTAATATTCTTAAATGCCATAAGTTCCGTTGCCTTTTTCTTTATAATAGTTTCCGGACATTCCTTGGCCAGCGTATGGTGTTTGCCGTTACAGTTGATGCAATTTGGTTTAGTAACACATTGTTGATGCTCTGGGTGAAGGTCCTTGCCACAGAGTAGGCATTTCGCTGAGTTTTTGCAAAATTTAGTTGCGTGGTTGAGTTGGCCGCATTTATAGCATCGTCTAATGCTTGGTATATAGGGGGCCATTTGCAGTCTGGTTCGCCACATGAAGACCGAAGGGGGAATCACCATGGACCTTAAAAGAAGTTTGACAGTGCTAGAAGGTTTGTACTCCACCTGGTCATTTATCTTAGTTTTAATCTGCATTCTATAGATGTCATCCTTATTGAAGGATAATTCCGGGTTGCTGTTTTTCAGCTCATTCCAGATCTCTTCGTTAGGGACTTCTGCAGGAATGCCTTTAATAACAACCTTGCGGTATACCAAGTACCATGGGATAGACAATGTGAAATATGATTTGCGAACGTAAGAGTTATTGAGGGCTTCGTTAGCAGCAGATTGAGATGAAAAGGTAAGAATCCACTTAAACCTACTTTGTTTGACAATAGTAGTGAACTTGAGGCCTGCATTAATCAATTTGCGAGAGACTTCCACATCCAGAGGAGGCCGGCGGGCGTTCTCATTGTTAGATATCATAGAAACCAGAACTTGGTAGGGGCCTTTGTCCTTACGAGTGTAAATACAACCTTCCACACCGTTGCTATTATGCAAGGTGGCTTGGACAACAGATGGTTGAACTTGAGAAGCAGGTAAATCCTCTGATACGTTTTGATATTCATTATTAGGCAGATTTTTCTTGGAGTGATGTAACTCCCTCTGTTTGTTCCCAGGAAGACTGCGTTTAGTACCTTTTTTAGGTTTAATATTTGCTTCTTCTCTCAGACTGTCAACTGAGTTGTGGATCTGGGAGAGGGCAGTTGTATTGTCTTCATAAGGATCATCGTCTGTTTCCATGTCGTCCGGGGGGTTTGGAGGTTCCCCTGAATGTTCCATCCACGTGCCGACAAGCGGCTAGAATTAGGTTAGAAGTACCGTATATGTGTCAAAAAGCTTCAACTCTCAGAGCGAAAATCACCACAGGCAGAGAAGATTGCCAGTAAGTTTTATTAGAGACAAAACGCCTTTATGAGACAAAATATCCACCAAAAAGCTAATATATATAAGCCAGTACTTATTACTCACTCTATTGTGACTCACTCACAGGATAATTCAGGCGGCAGGCAACAAGTCCCTGTGAGAACAGCGCCATCGGACGCGGATGTCGTGCGGCTTTTAACAGCCGATACAAGTGAAGTGTGGATTACCGACAGTGGTGCATCGTGTTGTAATGTAAGGTTCCAATTAAAGAATAAAACTTTTATTTCTGAATGATACAATAGTATGATCTTATTTCTTAAACCGCCAGTATGCTAATGACGCCGGCTCGATTCATTATTGGTAAGTATGCGGAGTCTAAATGACTCATACGTGCGCGCCATGCGCAGTAGCGGGTGAGAGCGTCGACGGTTGACCGACACCTCCCCGGGTTAAACAAAACAGTCGTCTCAAATTTTATTGAGTTTGAATAGAAGACGATCTGGTTTTGCTTGGGAGTCGCTTGGCTTATGAGTATATGTTACATGTTGCGTAGGTGCGCTATTTCCAAAGCTACAATTGTGATAACAGTGTCCGCATAATGATCGTAGTATTTTAACAATTGTTTTAAATAACCCTATTTTATATAGAAATACAATTAGCATGCCTGCAAGGGCGATGTATCCAGCATATGCTAGGTATTCATAAAATTTTTTTTTCCATGTTTTTATTCTTTGGTGATGCAATATCTTATCAGCAATATCTTGCAACTCTCCGAGTGTCTTACCCATATGCTGCATACTTTCTTTATCTAATATATTTACGGTAAGTAAATCTTTAGGAATATCAGTTTCTTGAATAGTTAAATTTGGCAGGTTAATTCTAGCATTGATTATCTCATAAGATTTCGAATTGTTATTTTTTATATTGCTCGGTCTCATTGTAGCTGAAAGTGATATTCCTTCACAGTCAGGGGCTATTGTTAATATTATATTTCCGTATACCGGGTGTTTCAGACCACCCGTCCCACCCTTTTAAAACGTAGGGATGTGCTTGTACAAAAAAATGGCTCAGACAAAATTTGCATGATTTCGAGGGATCTATCTGATGGTGACTTTGACTT